ATTGAGAGCAGAGGGAACACGTAAAGCCAGTAAGCGCTTGGAATGAAGATCTAAGAATTCGGAAAATAACATTCATCTAATCTTACAATGTAGTGCATTAGATTGAGTACATACGTGGTGCATTCTAGGGTAAGTTTTGAGGCTCTTCTCTGTGTGTAGCGGTCAGACCGTACAAGTGGGATTATATACACATCACATGCGAGCAACTACTTTTTGAGATGAAAATCGAGTGCATGGCGCAATCCTATATGGAGCTTTTCCAAAGTATCAAAGCACATTCTTATAGTGTCCGACGAGCTGAATTCAAAGATATCTTCGGATTCTCGAAAGCTCAATTTTGAACCGAGTTATAACGAATTCACGAAATTAACGAGGATTCGCGTTATTCGCGTGAATTTTCGATTTCAAACGGCGAGTACTGTATTTGCACACAAATGTTTTGAAGAACAATGGCATATGACGTCCCGTCGCAAGAGTTCTTAACAAAGGATTGTGTCACTGTAGCTGCCGATGCGGTTGTATATTACAGAACCAGGTAAGAACTATTCTCTTGAGGGCTGAATCATCTGACTGTTTCGATCTTGTTGAGGGACCCCATCGCATGTCTTTCGGAGGTGTGTGACGCTCATTATTCAACGAGACAATTAGCACAAGCGACTCTGCGTAATACCATCGGCACACGGACACTGGCTCAGATTATGGCAGATCAAGATGGAATTGCTTCACAAGTGGGACAAATTCTCGATAGGGGTGAGCTTTAAAACATCACTTTGGAGTACGCGGTAAACTTGTTTCTTTTAATGTGCCACAAATTCGTTCCGTTCCGGGCGTTTCCGACGAACAGCATCGGCCAACTTCTTAAGCTGAGAAGCGTATACCTTAGCGGACTCAGTGAGTCCGATAGGAAGTAGCTCGAAATAAAGCATTCCCTTAGAATCCCACCAACAGCAGAGCGAAACCTTTCTCTCGTGTAGTTCATTTCTCGGCTGCTCTGGAGGAGGTTTTCTGCGGATGGGCCACTGGCGACGTCAGGTATGATTAATACAAGGAGCCCAGCTCTCGCCTCCGGTAATGATGCCCTTGAGAAGATCCGTGGGGGTGCAGAAGCAATGAAGTGCATACGCTTGTCCTTGACGCTTGTCGGACTCTCGTTATTCTCGTGGTACCCATCTTGTGAACACATCTCGAAAGCTCACGGAATGGAGATGGTTGTTAAAAGTTATATGGCCGCATCCAATGTCGTCGTCAGTTCACGGAAAGTAGCATTGAGTTTCTCTTTCAAGGCTTTGCGCAGAGCTTCGTCGTCGAACGAGGTAGGCCGTCCAGAACGGGGTTTCTTCGGAAGAAATTTCGCCAGAACGGAATCGACAGAACGCAGTACGGATGTTGGCGGCAACCACTGGTGGATTATGGCCTTGTAGTAATTCATAGTAGACGATAGCTCGCAGACCTTCGGATCATTGAAGTCATAATTGCGAAATACGTACAAGCACTCGTTGGTACACCCATCCAAGCGAAGCCTCAGGGACCTTCTACCATACAACATTGCGAAACGCTTTCTGTGTCCCCTCCAAAAAAATCTAGAGAAGGAAGAATATTTCCGTCAAAACGTTTTGTCCAACCACTGTAAAAGGCAAGGTTCGCTGTATGGTCGAATGTGCTTCGGTTTAGCAGAGGTTTTCTAAGCGCTACGAATTGGCAGCTCGCATTATTTCTCGTTTTCTTCTTCTTCTCATGACCATGTAATCAAAGAAGAGTAGTAGAAGTAAACACAATCCATACGGGTAGGAAAATAGATGTTTTCTCTGGCATAGCCACGTCACAGATACTCTTAATGTCCTCACAGAGAAAATAGTAGAATTCGCTTTTAATGACCACTCTTTACACGCTCTTTTGATCGGGATTTCACCACTACACTCCGACTGACTTTCATACATCCAATATTGTATGATAGTTTTGTGTCATTCGTGTTTTACATGGTTAACTCTCAAAATACACGGGTATGAGGTGAGCCGGCCGCTTGAAAATCGTTTTTGTCGCACGTGGCCAAGAAACCCAAAATGCACGCTGTGTCAGCTTGTTAACTGCACGAGTACGAATCTGAATCAGAAAGATTCTCAGTTTAAGTTGAATTCATCCTGCTCCTTGAAGTTGTATCTTTGGACTGCTTGGAGGAACGAGTTACTTGTAACTTGTAAACTTGTAACTTTGGTTGGAGGAACGAGGCATCGGGTTCCCCAAGTTTTGCTCCCTATTATAGTGAAACTCTAATTGTAAGAGGAGACTTCTGGCTGATACACATCGCCATTCAAATATAATCTTCGCACGTTTCCATTTGTTGTGGTAGGGTAATTACGCAGACCTTATCAGAGCTGGTCGTTGTCATCCAGTACAGCCTGCTGAGCCGGCGTTTGATTCAAATCGCAAAGAATGATAAGCAAGATAGATACTCTTCGCGAGTTCCAAGTCTCGCATTTCTATGAACTCTGACATATCATTCAAAATCGCGGTGACCACAACTGACCCCTTTAGCAATTAACCATGAACGTGAATAAGTATAGTTACTTTGAACTAAGCTGGAAATGTTATTATGAAATAACTTTTTCGTTTAATCTTGGACTTTTAGCAACAGCTGTTTGGGGAATTCGCGTCGAAAAGGTTGTTATCAAAGATATCCGTTTTCCGAGAGAACTGTGTCGAGCCATGGTTGCCGAAGCCGAAGCAGTTAGAGCAGCTAAAGCAAAAATGATTTTTGCTCTCGGAGAACTCAGTGTATGTGATTTGTTTGATTCTGTGTTTTGTTACCAGGCAACTATAACTAATTTCCAAAGCTGAGAGAAGTGTGTAAACTAAGATTTATTAGTTTCTTGCCGGGTTCTTTCCATTCCTTAATTTACTTATGCTGACAATGGTGAGCTTCTTTCTCTAAATTCCTTCACGAGAACAATAAGAGACGTTGTAGCACTTGAACCGTTCTAAAATGAGAACTCAGTAATAAATTGGACTTGTTGGTCTGAGGTGGCCAACAAAGTTAAAAATAGATATATAAAGCTCGATTAGTTGCTGGTCAGATGTGGAAGTTGGGTAAAATAGTGCAGCGGTGAAGAAAGCACTGGCAAGGGAGGTCGTTCAGAGTATGGAGCGCTATTCCAGAATAGTTTTTACATGCTGTGCGGTCTGTCACGGGGACTACAACACTGTGTTTCATTTTCGCTGGG